TGTGTGTGTGTGTGTGTGTGTGTGTGTGTGTGTGTGTGTGTGTGTGTATAATTAAGACTGTGTATAGAATTTCTTTTTCTACTAAAGTGGTAAGTGAAGAAGGGTGATGGTGTTGTAGAAGGAATTGGCAAATGACACACAGAGATGCAGAAGTGGGTAATACAATCAAACAAAATAGTTTACTTTGCTAGAAAAGGGTCGGCCTGCACCAAGGGTCATGTCAAATGACCAACCCTAGGCTGAGTTACAATCTTCCCTTTTATAGGAGTTTTATAATCATGACCTCATTTTAGGTAGTTCAGTAAGACATTCCAGTTCTCTCAGTTCCCATCACAAATCATAGTCAGTTTAATTTTAACCCAAATGTAGCACCTTCTTTGTGGTTAGGATGTTTATCTTTAGGATCACCTAATTAGCTATTCGAGCCCACAAGAGTGCTGGTCAGGGTTAGGAAAACCAGACTGGTTACATAGCTTTCATCTTAACTCTTTTATAGTCATATGATTTACAAAAGTTTAGGGTTTAGGTCTAAATGTACTTTGCTTGTAAGGTGTGGTGATGGTTGTCTTAGTTTGAACATCTGGTCTCACCCTGGGGATGTAACTAAGCACCTCTGGTATCTGTTAATCTTATAACATTTTAAATTGGTACTATGTGTCTTAAAGCTTTGTAGTTAATGACGAAACCTCTGGTATTTTTGTCCTAAGAAATAAGCAAAGCAAAGCAAATTACAGAAGCAAAAGACAGTGGTTATTCTGTATTTCCTTAACAGTTTGTAGGTTTCAGTCTATTTACAGAAGTTCTCTTATCAATGGTACAAACCCACGAAACCCATGACATTGAAGGAAAGAGCCAGGTGAGATTCGTGGGGGTAACACATTTGGGGAAAAACAATCCATACTGAGTTACAGAGCAGATGGGCTCTGTAGTGGACCTTGATATGTCCACCAACCCTCTGACTTGCCGGACTGGGGTCACTCAGACTTGTATACAGCCTTGAAAGGAGTGAGTGCACAGAACTAAGGCTAGGCCATCAGATATTCCAAGTGAACTTACTGAATAAAGCAAAGGTACAGAGTGGCAAGGATCCATTCTCGAGGTCTCAGGTGCTGGTAGAGCCCTGGCCAACTGTCCCTGATGAGGAGTCTGGGAGTCCCTAGGCTTCAGTCCTGCCCCTAAAAGTCTCATCTTTTATTTAACCTCTTGGTGATTCTGTGACCCTGTGGTGTCTCATAAATATATATATATAT